GGACAATAGCAGAGTGTGTCCCGATACTTGTAACTAAACACACTCACGTGGGAAAAAAGGCTGTAAAACTTTCCACCAAGGAAATCGCTCACAGTGGTTGTCTCTGGGCAGTGGCCATGGTCACTTATCCTCTGTGTGACTCAGCTGTATTTTCCAAAGTTTCTACGATGAGCATGTTGTAAGAAAAGAAATTTAGTTAGGAAAGCAACACGTTTTTAAATGGACAAACCTTTTGGCCAGCAATCAATTCCCTTTGTTTCTACATGGAACACATAGAAAGATGATAAGTGAGCATAGTTCTGTAAAAGGAAATTCTGTTTATGTGTGTGCATAAGCAAGCAGGCCCAGAAGGACCTGCGCCAGACTGTTAACAGCTGTTGGCTTCTGGGAGCCGAATGAGGGGTCTCTGAGCTTGATAGTCTTATATTTATTCGAATTTTTAAAACAATAAGCATAAGTTGTTTTATAACTTTTAAAAAGGCAAACAGCTGAACAACTGTCCTAGCCTTCGCCAACGCCCTGGTTCTCCCTGTGCAAAATCTGGCTGGGGGTGACCAGTAGGCTTACCCTGGGCACTCAGCAGCCACCCCGACATCTTTAGGGGGGAGCTGTCTCCAGTCTCTAAGAATCCTCCCAACTTGGAGATGGGGGGCTTTCGTGATTCCAGCTTTGACACCAGCCAGTAAACACTTTCTGGGACCCCTTCTGTGCCCAGCAGGCAGAGCCAGGGCATGACCCCTGCTTCGGCCTGCTCACGTTCTAGGGGTAAGGAGAGTCCCAACGTGCTGCAGGGGCCCAGAGCGTTGAGTTCTGCTGGACGGGAATGACGGACAGCTTCACCTTGAGTGGGATGTGAAGGGTGAGTATGATTTCAACAGAAGAAAGAAGAGGGCAAGGGCATTCTGGGCAGGGAGTGAGTATTACAAAAGCAGGGGTGCTGAGGACCAAAATATGCTTAACACTCTCTGTTTGGGATCCTAATGCTCTTCTTCTTTCTAATCCTTATCCGAGGACATGCTCATTGATTTTAAAGAGGGGGGAGGGAAGGAGAGAGAGAGGGAGAGAAACATCAATGTGAGAGAGATGCATCAATCGGTTGCCTCTAGACTCGCCCGAAGGGGGACTGAACCTGTAAACTAGGCAAGTGCCCTGACTGAGAATCAAACCCGTGACTCTTCAGTCTACGGGATGATGCTCCAACCCACGGACCCACACCAGCCAGGGCAGGATCCTCATATTCTTGGGTGCTCTGCCTCTAGCATGACGTGCAGTCTTTTCTGCCCCCACAGGAAGCCTCTGGGAACAGAGGGGCTGTGTTGTGTCGCCGCTGGCCTGTGCTGGGCAGGGTGCTGGTGAGAGGACTGAGGGCTGAAGGCTGAGCCGAGAGTGAGGCCTGGAAGGGCTCGGTCCACGGAGCCACTGTCCTTTCTAGCTGGGTCTGTGCCCACACAGCAGTGGCTGCTGTGGTGCTGCCTGTGTGGAGTCCTGAGAAGTCCCCTCCCCCTTCCTGTCCCCCTGTACTCTCTCCCACACCCGCTTGGTGTGGTGCCTGCAATCCCACCACTAGCTGCTCCTTTGGAGTGGTTCCTATTATATGTGCTCGTAGGTCAGGAAGGGGGCGGCGCCTCGAACTGTAAGCCAGTTACCCCGAGGAGCACCGGAGGGTAAGTTTGGATGAAGGAATGAAGGGATGGAGGAGGGCATTTCAGAAGTGTGACAGAGGAAGGGGAGGGGTGGGGAGTGCAGTTGTGCAAACTTCGAGAGGCCTCCCCACGCTAGAACCTTGGAACCGGTGGCTGCCCCATAGCCCGGGGTCACCATTCTTCTTGCCGAACCAGTGAGGAGTGGACACCTGTAAGGGAGACATCGGGGACCACTGGAGAGTCGGAAGTGGAGCTGGGACCCACCCAGGTTTAGCAGGGTTCACCCAGGACTAGGCCCACAGCTGTGAGAGGCACACACCTGCAGCCAGTCTCTGCTGTTTCTGGGACCTCTCAGGGCTCCGATCTGCTTCACCTTCCAGGGGCAGAAACGGAGCCGCTGGCCTGCACTTCCCTGTTCCTGCTCGTAGTCCAGCAGTTCGGTCAGGGAAGGGCTCCAGCCTCAGGTTTGCAAGGGGTGGGGCTGAGGAACTGGCCCAGGGAGTGAGCGGGCAAAAGCCCCTTCTCTGGGGGAAAAAAAAGATTTCAAAACCCCCAAACCACTCCAGGCCTCAGGGCTGGAATAAGGTGCCATGGAATCAGGGGACCCCCTGGGGCCGCCGTTCCCTATGCCCTCACTCACCTGTGACTCCCTGTGGCTCCAGCAGCTGCCCTGGTGACTTTGCCCCTGCTGTGGCTGGTGCTGGCTCTGGGCTCTGCTGCCGGCAACAGAGGCACCAGGTGTGGGCAGGCACCAACTGGTTCTGACCCGGAGGAGGGGCCGGAGGGGTACCACCGATTCTCCCTTCTCTTTGGGAGTGAGGATGGAGGAAGGCACCCAGCTCCTGGTGCCTGGGGCTGTGGGGGCCCTGGCCACTCCCCTTCTCCTTCTGCTCACAATCAGGGTTCCCAGGGGGTGGGAGGAGGCACCAGAATCCACAGGAGGGAGATTAAAGGTTCCGTGAAAAGAGCGGCTGGCTAGGAGTTGGGAGACCTGGGTTGGGCCTGGGTCTGCCGCACAGGCTGGTGTCCTCCCATTTGGGTCTCCGTTTTCTCATCTGTAAAATGACAGGTGAGATCCATGGTCTCTCAGCAGCCCTCCTGGAGGCTGTGATGCTGACCCGCATGCTCAGCTGGTCTGTCTCCACCTTAGAGAGAACTTCCCGGCTCTATGACCTTTGAGCTGCAGCCCTTGCAGACCCTCTAGATGTGGGGGTCCCTCTCCTCTGGCACCTCCCTCCTCAGCCCTGCCCCTGCCCACTTGCAGCTTCCCCACTGTGCTCCTTCTCCTTGCCTGGTCAGGGGTCCTCCCCGCTGGCCATTCTCCCCGCTGTGTGCTAACTGGGGCCAGGAAACCGGGGCTTTGGCCTCAGCTGTGCCACGTGCTGTATGTCCTTGAGCTAGAAACCAGCTCGCTCTGAGCCTCTGAATTGGGCTGGAAGGTCCACCAGGCTTCTCCAGCCTTCAGATGTGATCACATCCAGGCCCACAGTTTGGGGGAGCTCATGAGAACCTGGGCTTTGTGCCTCTGGTTCCATCTTTGAAAGGCTCTCTGTTGTCATGACACTGGAGTAGGAAGCCCCTGGACCTCTGGTCCCAAGTGTCACTTCTTCCTCTACTTCATCTAATTCCTAGGGTGAGTGGAGAGCATTTTTTAATAGTAAGAAATATGAGAGAACTGTCGAAATTTTGAAATAAGATAGAAGACTGCTGTATTCAGGGTAAAAAAAAAACCCCACAAAAGTTCATCCAGGTAAAAGGAAAAATAAAGAAAAATGAGCACATTTCAAAATAAAAGTTTTCCTCTTCTCCTGCTATTATTTTGGAGGTTGTGCCTCCTGACCACATCCTCCACGCCCCTGCCCTACCCCCGCCCCCACCCGGGTTTCTGCTCTACTTCCCATCACTCCCTCTTCCCTTATGTGGTTCAGGATTCCCAGGGAACTGGGGGAATCATGGGTAAGGAGAAATAACTATATGCCCATATGCCCTGGTGGGCAATGATGATTCAGCACCTTGGTCAGCACCCCCCCCATATCCAACCCCCCCCGCCCCCTGTATTTATGCCTGTGACATGGTCCTTTGCAACTTATCTCCTGGTGGAGCTTCTGGGGACAGCGAACAGAGCCTGGACCCGGACAGGAGGTGGGGAAGCTGGGAATGCTGCTCAGGTGTGAGCAGTCAGCCTCCGGGGATGCTCTCTCTGGCAGGAGGGAAGGCGCATCCCCAGAGCCCCCGAGCCAAGCTCTGTGCTGCCAAGAGACCTTATCTCTGTTGTTTTCTGTTCCTGCTCCACCCCAGAGAGAAGAATCCAGAGTTAATGGCCTTGTTAGGTGCTGAGCAGGCCAAGCCCCGAGACGAACATTAGACTTAGAATCCTGAACCATCAGAGCCAGACTTTGGCTACCAATTAACTAGACCTCTGGCCCCTCCCCAGTAGAGATGGGAAACCTGAGGCCCAGGGAGAGAGGGGACCTACTCAGCTGCACACGGTGTTTTCATGAGCCTGCCCCTGACCCCCGGAGGCACATGAGGCTTGGCTTGCAGTGGAGTCTGGACTCACAATTGCAGGGTTCCACAGTGGTGTGTGGCCTGGGTCAGGCTTCCACTTTGAATCCCAGGGAGATCACAGTTCTGGGGGCCACTTCCTGTCACTGAAACGGTCCTCAAAGTTGAGAAGCCCAGGGAGGTCCAGTGAAGAGTTTGGCTCTGGCTTTGGATGGGCCTGGGTCTGATTCCTAGATCTCCTGATACTGGCTGTGGGTCCCCTGGGAAGTAACGTCCCTCCACTCAAACACTAAGATGATATCAACTTCATGGGCTTGCCTTAAAAAGTACCAGCACTTAAAAGATTTATTCATTTTTAGAGAGAGGGGAAGGGAGGGAGAAAGAGGGAGAGAAACGTTGATCAGCATGCTCCCAACAACCAGGATCCTGGCCCACAACCCAGGCATGTGTCCTGACCTCGAATTGAACCGACAACCTTTCAGTTCACAGGCTGGCACTCAATCCACTGAGCCACACCAGCCAGGGCAAAAAGTACTAGCGTCTTGCCCGCTGACCACAAACAGGGATCTGAATGGGGTTATTGTAGTCTTAGCCATTGCCCTGGGTAAGATCTTTGCTGATCCCTCCTTCTTCCCCAAGGTCAGGCTGCCTTTGCCTCTTCTCTTTGTGTAGATAAGTCATGTCTTATTAATCTCATTTTTCCACTTCTGTAAAATGGGCATATACTATCTACCCAATAGGGTGCTTTGTGGATTACCCATGCACATTAGCATTACCCATGCTAATGTACGTAGACTGCCTGAGACACAATGGGTAGGCCTTTTTGTCAAAATGAATGAAACTGACCACTGATACCCTATAACTTTAATTTAATACAAATTTATCATAACTCACAAAATGGGCAACGTTTAAAATATTGCTGGGGGTGGCCCAGATTCCAGTAGATGAAGGGGTGGGGTAAAACCGAGGATTTCTTCTGCCCCAGGTGGGCCCCAGTGGGAAGCATTGTGAGGTGAGAGACCCCCAAGTTCAGCTAGTCTGGATCCTTTGGGATGGATTTGATCAGAGATTCCAAGTTCAGAATCCAGGCCCCAGGACTAGAAAGAAAAGCCAAGGCTGGAGAGACACTTCAGCTTGGCCCTGTAGGCCCGTCCTCTGGGCTCCTGCCCCTGGGCAGGACCAGAGCCCGGGAGCAGGAAACCTGGAGGCTCTGCTGGTGCAAAGCCAAGGCCTGGAGGTAGACTCCAGCGGCAAAAACCATGGATGGGTTTGTTCAACCTCCATTTGAACTTCCTTCTAGTGGTGGGTATGGGGTGTGTGTGTGTGTGTGTGTGTGTGAGAGAGAGCGAGAGAGAGAGAGAAATGGCTGAGGCTGGAAAAAAGAAAACTACATTTCCCAGACTCCCTTGCAACCAAGGTGCAGGATCTGATTTACAATCCCCCAAACAGAATCCTTCATTAGAGACCTGCATTTGGGAACTGAATTGAGTGAGAGAGCGGCAGGCCTCAGGACATCCATTTGCTGGCATGACGAGTAGCAGAGGGAGCACACTTCTGCAGTCAGCAGCTTCCTGCAGCCGTGGCTTCCTGCACACGGAAGCAGTGTTCCTGGTCAGGAGACATGATGGATCTGGCAGCTGGGAGCCATTCCGGGAAATTCAGCGAAGAGTCTGCTCCTCCAGCCCTTGCAATGATTTTTCAGAGCCGTCAGGGACCCAGTAATAAATCCTGTCTAATTAAACCAGCTAAAGCAGCTCTTGTTTTCTACAATGGGATCTTCACGGAGATAGAAGCCTGCTGAGAGTTCCCACCCAACAGCCCTTTCCAGTTCTCAGGTTCTGATGAAAACAGCTGCTCACTGCAGCGCCACGCCCCCCCCCCCCCCCCCACGCCTGGTCACAGAGGTCTGGCTGGACCCGTATCCAAGCCTCTTCACCTGATGATGCTTGTCCTGTAGCTGCCGTTAGGCTACCGGGCTCTGATCAGCCTTGAGGTGTGCCATTGTCCCACCATTAGGCGCGTGCGCAGGACGGTGGTGGTACAGTAACTGTAACATGGGCTCGACTACTGGGTGCCTTCCACAGGTCACAGCACTATCTCTACCTGCAGAGAAGGGGGGAAAGCAGGAACAATAAAGTTCTTGGTCCGGAGGTGGAAGGAGAGGGCACTTCTCAGGCCACCCTAGGTCCAGATACTGCCCGTGCTCACTGTGGGCTGGGGTCAAGGTTAAACTGGCCCATCACTACCTTGGGCAGGGGCAGTCTTAGGCCTGGGAGCCTAAGAGGGTTCTGAGTATCTTTCGAGCTGCCAACTATTGGCAACAACACTCTGACGTATCCTGAGGTTAGGGCATGTGGGCAGGAGGGAGACATAGGGAGACAGTCCCCTGCCCCTTGGAGGATGGGGATGAGGGTCGGGCAGGGGCTGCCCTGAGGAGAAGCCATGTCACATCCTTGGACCAAAGGTACATCCCCATCAAGGTCAGAGCTACAGAACATCAATGCTGAGAGAGGGCTTAGGAGTCTCGGAGCACAACCTCCATTTAACAGATGAGGGAGGCTGAAGGGTAAACGACGAGCCTGGGGTCTCAGGCTCGCCGAGCTGGACCGGAGTCAGGCCTCCGTCCCCTGGGCAGGGCTCTTGCTGGCGGCCTTGGCCCTGGTGCTTGCGGGTTCCTTCCGTTGCGCTAGATACGGACGGTGTTGATCCTCAAGGGCTGCACATTCTTGCCATTGGCGTGGCTCTGCCCGGGGCTGAAGTAGGAGCAGAGCTTGCCAGGGAACTTCTCACGGAAGGTGTACAGCCAGGACATGTCATCGGCGTTGTAGAAGATAAGCAGGCCTTGGTCGTAGTCCAGGAAGACGCCCACCTTGTCAAGCTTATCTCGGACGTTGAGCCGTGTCCAGGGCTCCGTGCAGGCGCTGTACTGGTTGCCATCGTGCATGACGATGCAGTAGAAACCGCGGCTCGGCTGGATCTGGATGCTGCCCTTGCGGCTTGCGGCCTCGTGTGCCAGCCCGATCACCCACTGGGTCTTCTCCGCCACCACCACCTCCCAGTAGTGGACGCCGCCACTGAAGGCCTCGGAGCCCAGCACCGACACCTCCACGTCGAAGCGCTTTGGCGAGTCCTGCAGAGGCTGTGGGTGCAGGTTGCCGTAGGCCACGATGGTGCAGTCATCTGACAGAATCAGGCGCTGGTGGGCGGTGCCCGGGTCCAGGGTCAGGGCAGCTGGCACTGCAGGGGATGGAGAAGGGAGACATGAGTGGAGGGAAGGCTGTGGACCCATTCCGTGGAACCTCCCTGAGGGTCAGGTTCTGGCTGGGCCCCGGGAGGATGTGTGATGCTGAATACAAGCCTCTCCAGCCTCAGCTTCCTCTTCTGTAAAATGGCAGGACGAAGGCTAAGGTCCTGCCAGACTTCAGCTCAGCTCGGGGAGCAGGGGCTCTGGCTGCTTGTTTGTTGCTGACGCCTGGGGCATGGCACATAGTGGGCACTTCACAAAAGTTTGTTGAACAAGCCAGAAATGAGGTCCAGAATCAGAAGGTTTCAGAGCTGGGAGGGAGCGGAAAGATTATTCGAGGGCTGGATAATCCCCCTAGGGCATGATTTGGAAATTTGTGGGGGGTGTTTGGATTGTCTCAAAGACAGGATACAGGAGTGTTATTAAAATGTCTCGAGTGAAACCCACAGGGCAGTCCTAGGCCACCCCACCAATAACTTTCAAATTATAATACTTTTTATGCAGTTTTAATATATACCGAGTATTCTGGAATGCAACTGAGGAACCACTAAGTTTTTGTTTCAAACTTCACTGAGAATTGTTCACATCTTTGGAATCTACATCTCTAAGAACAATGTGGTTGACTGATGTAACCGACCTGTTTGGGCTGCATCTGGGGCAGAGCGGTGCGTCTCCCCTGACTGCTTCGTTGTGTTTCCTAGTGTGGGTGTGAGCGAACATGTACACAGTGACATGCACAATAGTGTATTACAGTCTATTTCTTTCTGCTTTTCCTTTACATTGGAGTCAGAGTATATATGAGTACATATGTATGTATATGTGCATATATTATATATATACACTTGAAATTGTTAAAAGGTCATTCTGTCTTTGAGACATTACACGTTATTTGTTAGGAAGGTAGATAATGGATCTGAAAAAGCTGAAAGCCACTGATTCTGGGCCAGTTCTCCCATTTGACAGATGGGGAGACTGAAACCCAGAGAGGAGACAAGACTGGTCTCAGGTAACTCAGCAAACACCGGCAGAGCCGGGACCAGTCACGGTCAGTGAGGCCCCGCTCTGCCCTCCCTTCCAGTCTCCCTCTCGGCTGCTGCCTCCCTCCTGCTTGGGCCCAAGGCCTTCACTCAGAGTGTCCCCTCCGCCACTTCCCCTCTGCTTATCGTAACCATCCCCACCCCACCCCCACCAGGCTCAGTTCCAAGGCTGGTCCTCTGGGACGCCTTCCTGGGTACCCAGCAGGTGTGCTCCCTCTTTCCTCCAAGATGCTTTAACTTGGTTTGTGCCTCTCCCAGTACAGGGTGCAGTGCTCTGTGCCCACACTTTCCCAGGAGGGAAGGACTGTGCACTCTCCAGCCGCCTCTCCCTCGTGTGCCCAGCGCACATGGTGGATTTCTGGAAAGGCTCGCCAAACCAAACGGGCCCAATCTGTGTTGCTCTTTGGGCCGGCAGCACGGGCTGGGTCGCCTGGCTCTGTGCTGGCCTCGCTGGCTCAGCAGATTCGCCTCTCCAAGTCCCACAGACGGACGCTCGTCTGTCTACTCTTTCCTCCCCGAGGGAGCTGATGCCCAGTCGGAAGAAAGGGGACTGCAGAAGTGATCCTCCTTAGTGCGGACGACCATTTCCAGGACAGAGCAAGACGGAGTGGGGGAAAGGCAGGAAGAAGAAGTCCTGTCGCCACTTCTTTGGAGTAAAGAAAGGACTTCATCCGGCTTTCTGGCACCTTCCTCACCAGTGAACAGGGCATGGTTACACTTGGCTGGAGCACGACCCCTACTTCAGCCACTCCCGTTGGCCATGTACATGCACAGAAGGTCACTGCCTCGGTGATGGCGACTGTCCCCAGCAGGTAGCAACAGCCAGCCCTGAACTCTGCGTCTGTCCGTGCACCCACCAGCACAGCTGCCTGTTTGACACAGTGAGCTCCTTCTGTGAGCTCTGGCAGGAGTAACTTTTTCTTAAAGATTTTATTTATTTTTAGAGAGAAGGGAGGGGAGGTAGAAAGAAGGGGAGAGAAACACTGATGGGCTGCCTCTCACACCGTCCTTGACCAGGGATCGAACCTGCAACCCAGGCATGCACCCCAACCGGGAATCGAACCAGCAAACTTTCACTTTGAGGAATGATGCCCAACCCAGCCACACCAGTCAGGGCTGTCAGGAGTAAATTTAGTTTTGCGTTTCACACTTTCCCTTCCTGTTCTTAGAATTCAGAGGGCTGCACGGAAACAATTAGCCCTGTGAACAGAGGGGTCAAGGGAAACATGATTCTCTGTCCAGGCACATTGAAGAGGGGGAGCCACGAGAAGGAAGACGCTGGATCCGAGTATGAATGTGTTACCCTGTCTGCGGCCTGTCAGAATGAGAAGGCTCCTGTCACTCGGAATGTGGGAATTCCCACAGTGGGGTCAGGAGGTAAAAGGTGGAGAGGGGTGTAGAAAGTGTGTGTGCGCGTGTGCATGCATGTGTGTGTGTGTGGAGGGGGAGGAGATAAAGGAAGAATCTAATGAGACACAGATGGGGCCACTCGTACTGGCTGTGGAATGTGGGCCACACTCAGGTGTCTGTGGCATAGGGTCAGAGCAGGTACAAGGCCCAGGGGTGGGTAACAGCAGCTCTGAGTGCCCTGCAGGCATCTGGGCCTTTTATCTGAGGTGCCCAGGATGATTGGGGGAGACCGGCACACAGGCAGGAGGGCTCAGCCCCAGAGGTAGAACAGCACAGGCCACTTCTAGTGCTGCTGCGAGTTGGGGAGCGGCTCTAGGAGGCAGCCAAGTGGGCGGCCAGTGGTCCTGAGATTGGGCGGCACCAGTGAGCCCACGAAGAGGAAATCCTGCCCTGGGAGCCAGGTCCTGGGCACAGAAGCGCAGGGGGCTGGATGAGGGCAGGACCCACCATTCATTAAGTGGGCCTAGGGGTGGGGGTGGGGGAGTCCTGATAACAGGGGCAGGACCGGACATCTCAGCGCAGAGCCATGGCGGGGCCTGGTGTTATTAGGCAGAAGGTGTGGCCTGACTCTTGGGAGGCTTTTATACCCCAAAGGGTGGGCTGAGGGGCACCTCTGGGGCCTCCCACTTCATCGTAAACAGAGGGTCCTGTCTTCTAGCCACTCTCTTACCCTCCCTGAGGCTAGGGCTGACCTCGGAGTGAACAGCCTTCAGAACAGAGGGAGACCCAGAAGAGGACATGCGACACCTTTTCTCCCTTCTGGAAGTCAGGCCACCCCTCCAAGCATCCTTTATCCTTGCAGACTGGGACAGACCCAGGGAAACAAATCCAGTCCCCTGGGGTTTACTACTTTACAGGGCAGAGCTCTTTCCTAGGCCCAAGACACTGTTTTATAGAAACAAAAAGCAGGCAGCCCGTCTGGTCTCCAGGCCGGTTCTTGGTCCATTTAAGCCTCTCTGAGACCACAAGGTCAAAGGCATTCTGGAAGGAGCGTGGACTGTGGAGGCCCCAGGAAATGTCTCCAGGCCATTGTTAAGCACACAACAAGGAACCTACAGTAGCCCCAGCAGCACAGAAGCCCCACAGTCCAGCAGTGAGTATCCCGTGCCTCTGTTCTCAAGGACTGTGGCTTTGAGCATGCTCAGGCCCAACAGGACGGGAGACGCCATCAGCTCTTTCCTCTGGCCAGTCCTTTAAAAACTCTGGCCCCTCAGGCCTCGCACCTGCTCAGGCCCTCAGCTGCACAGTGCTGGCGTTTCAAAAACACTTCCCTACCCACTAGCTGGTGGGAATACCCCAGGAACGCCAATAACCATACCCATTTTTCAGAAGTGGAAACTGAGGCTCCAAGGAGAATTCTCTAAGGTCAGTGGCTTGCTCAAGTTGTCACTGGGGGTGGAAGAGCACTGGAACATGAGTTAAGGTCTTTTCTCACATGCTCCGCCCTTTCTGTGGCCCCAGGAAGCCTGTTCGGCAAGACTGAGGACCCATCTGGCATTCACGGTAATAAGGACAAGCAGGTGTCAAGTACTCACTAAGTTCCAGGTTATTATCACAAATAAGTGGTTTTATTTAACTCTCACGCCTACCCTGGGAGGTAGATCACACTTTCCCGACCCCTGTTTCACAGACGAAGACACAGGATCAGAGAGGGCAGTGACTGGCCCTGGGCGCACAGCTAGGTGGGGAGTGAGCGTGATGGAACCCAGAATGACTGGATTCGGATAAGCAGGGGTAGTTGAGAACAGGCCAGGGAAAAAGGGAGTAGTGTCTGGTGTCCTTGGGACAATGGCCACCTGGCCTGGCTGGGGAAGAATTTGATGCCTGAGAGCTGGGACAAGCAGGCCAGGCAGTTGGAGGAGGGTTTCCAATGTCAGCTGAGGGGTGGGACGAGGGGTGAGTGGTGGGAGAGGTTCCAGAGCAGGGGGTGAGGGTTTGGGGGGAGTGACAGGTGCTAGATAGAGCTCTCAGATGAGCCAACGGGGAGTCTGAGCTGCAAAGGGGGCACGCAGGGAGCTGCTAGAATCCTCGGGCTGGGTCCCTGGGGGTGCCCGCCCCTCCCATCCGGACATAAAGGGCCTTGGTGCTGGCAGAGGAGTCAGAATGACTTCACAGGCCCTGCTGACAAAAGAAGGGGCCTCGCTAACCAGATCACTGTTCTCTGAACCCCCCAGGGGCCTCTGTTCTGGCAGGACGTTCAGGGCACATGTTACTCTGCTCCCTCAGCCCCTCGCCTCGCCTAGTGCACGGGGAGCTTTCCCTGGGGCAGTGGCTCTCGACTGGGGCGATCTGCCTCGCAGGGCACCTCGGGCAGTCTGGGGAGAGGGACGGTGCGGCATCCAGTTGCGTGGAGACCAGGGATGCTGCCACACACCCTACCATGCATAGAACAGCCCCCCACAACAAGGCCTCATCCAGCCCCAAATGTCAGTAGTGATGAGGCTGAGAAACCCGCTCTGGGGCAAGCAGCGAGTTCCCACATCCACGAGCTCTCTTGTGGGAGAGCTCGGGACGGGAACACAAGCATCCCTGTTTCGCAGAGGAGGGCAGAGGCTCAAAGGAAGGAAGCAACTTGTTTAGGAAGGTGTGGCAAGTTCCTTCAGTCAACAAATGTTTATTAAGTCCCTACTTTATGCCAGTTACTATTCTAACTGCAGAACTGAGACAAGGACTCAATTTTTTATTCATTCATCAATAGACATTTACTGTGTTGGCTGCTGGGGATAGGCAGTGATGAATCAGACCCAGCTCCTGACCCCTTGGAGCTCACAGTCTAGTGAAGGAGACAGCCACAGGGACACTGACAAAGCAGTGAGACCAGGAAAGCCTAGGGCCACCTGGAGAAATCCAGGAAGGCTTCCCAGAGGGGGTGTTTATAAACTAAGACATAAAAGAGGTACAGGTTAGGCATCAATGACTGAGGTTTGTGTAGAGGGCTCCAGGCAAAGGGAGCAGCGTGTGTAGGAGTATGGAGGAGGGAGAATGTGGCTCATAGAGCCTCATCAGCCTGAGATGCCTGGACTGCCTCTGTGAGCTGTGACAGGGGTGCAACAGGCGGCACCTGAAGCAAAGAGAGCTCTGAGACCCTCTACCTGAGGGGCCTCCCTGGGTCAGGGGCTGGGGAGGGAACAGGACCCTTGGACGTGCTGCTTGCCTCCTTGCGTTATGCTGCTTCAGCCATGAGTGGCCCTCACCCTGCTGGGTTCCACTGTGGAGGTCCCTCCAAGGGTCGGAGCACATGGAGACCCCAGGCCCAGGAGGATAACCCAGAGTCCCACCCCGTCTGCTGGAAAACGGGCCTTTCCCCAACTGCTGCCCCCTTTCTGAACAAGGGCATGGAGCAGCAGGAGGTGTCTCTTCACTTCTGTGAAATTGGTAATGGCGCATCACATGAGGCCTTCCGTCACCTACGGGGGAGCCCCACCTCTGGCATTTATGTGCTTGGTGATGGGCCTCAGCCCCTCCCCATCCCTGCCCAAAAGCCTGGGTGTGAACACCCTGGGGTCATTCATGCCCATGCTCATGCCCTTGCCCTCCCCACCAGGGACTGTCTGGAGATACTTCCAGGCCCGCCCTTCCCTGAGCGGCAAAGCCCGTGGCTTTTGGCACTCAGTTCAAACATTATCTATTCAGTGATGTTCAACATCCCCTGGCTGCTCCCTACCCCGCTCCATCCAGAGCCCCCCATTGCCTGCTCTGGGCTCCCACAGTGCTGGGTAAGTCCCTTTCACGCATAGTCCTTGTCTTGCTGGACAAGGCTGTGACTGTGGACAAGCTCCTAACAGCTCTGTGCCTCAGTTTCCTCACCTGAAAAAATGAGGATAATAATAGTGCCTGCCTCTTGGGGAGAATTCCCTGCTACATCCCCGTGCCTTGCCCGTGAAGGACATCGTGCCAGACTCAGGAACACACAGGTTCTCTGCGGCCAGAGGCTGGAGCCTGCGGCCCCCGTGGGTTGTGTGGCTTCGGGAAGGCACTGAGCCCCAGGGCCTACTCACTCTGCTGGAAAACTGTTCGGACTTCTCCCCTCTCGGCAAACCTCCTTTACCCCCGTGTGCCCACCCTCATCTCTGACAAGGGCCTCCCTGCCTCCCTGCGGGAGGTGAAGCCTTCAGCAGAGGACTCCCACGAGCCCCACTGCTCAGTGCCCATTACTCTGCCTTCTCTGGGCTCCCAGCAGGTCCCGCTCCTGGGCCGTCACTCCAGTCACGCTCCCCCTCCTTCACCTTCAGTTCTGCCTTCTCCCCCTGGGTCTTTCCCATCATCCCACAGATACACTGTTATTTCTTCTGTCTTAAACAAACAGCTGCTGCCATACTCCCTGTCCTTCCCTTAAAGAAAACTCCCTGAAATCGCGGTCTCCACTTCCTCTCCTTCCACCTCCCTTGGATGACCTCCAATCAGGCTCTTCGGCCCTACTGCTCCACTGAAATAGCTCTTGTTAAAGTCAGCAAAGCCCTCCATGTCCCTAGACCTGGAGAACAGTCAGTTTCGGGTTCTCCCACCCTTGGCTTAGCAGCCTGTCACCACCAGCCACTCTCCTAATGGAACCACTTTATCCGTTCAGCCTCCAGGACGGCCCAGGGTTCCCTCCTTCTTCTCCGGCGGCTCCTTCTCTGTCTCCTTGGCTGGGCCTCCCTCCTGCCCCTGAATGTGTCAGGGCTCCAAATGTTAGAGTGGCTCCCTCTCTCTTCCACCTACCCTCACTTCCTAGGTGATCTCATCCGGGCTCACTCACCATGGTCCTTGTGCTGAGGACGCCAGCCGTGACCTTTCTCCTGCACTGCAGACTTGCCATGACAACCGCCTCCCCCACATCAGCACTGAGACACCTAACTGGCACCGCAAACCTCAATCTATCCTTCAGTCACCTCTGCCAAAATCGTCACCGGCTTCCTCGTCTTCGTTCTCTCACACGTGAGATCCAATCCTTTGGCAAATCCTGTCGCTCTCCCATGAAAGCAGATCCTAAATCCGATCACTCCTCACCACCCGCGCTGTCACGGCCCTGCTCCGAGCTGCCAACATCTCTCATCTGGATCACAGTAGCAGTCTCCTAACCCTTTTCCCAGCCTCCATCCTCGACCCTCTTCAGTCTCTTCTCAACACGGCAGCCAGAGAAATCCTTTACAAACCCCAGCCAGCTCAAGTCTCTTCACTGCCCCCAACCCTCCAGTGGCCCCCCTCTCACTCAGCATGAAGTCTCAAGTTCTCACACCGGTCTGCAGGCCCTCAGGGTCTGGCCGCTAGTCCGTGCCTCTCCTCCTCACATTGGCCTCCCTTTTCCCTTGTGCCACGCCAGCCACACCGGCCTCTGTACTGCTCTTTGAACACTCTGGGCTTGCTCCCGCCTCAGGGCCTTTGCACATGCTCTTCCTGTTGCCAGGAACGCTCCTCCCGGGGATGGCTACACAGGTCACTCTCCTTCCCTTAGGTCTTTACCCCCATGCCTCCTTCTCAGTGTGGCCTTCTAACTGCATTCCCGATCCAGAATCTCGATCCTACCTCAGCATCCCCGAGCCCGCTTCCTTATCCTTTATCATTACCTAATAAACTCTGCATTTTACTTATTTACTTTTCTATCTTACTCTCTCACACCTAGGATGTAAGATCTGCAGGGGCAGAGATTTTTGCCTGTTTTGCTCACTGCTGTATCTCTAGCACCTGGAGTAGTACCTGGTGTGAGGTAGGTGCTTTATATTGTGAACTGCCCAGGGCCTCGGTCTCTTCATCTGGAGAATGGGTATACTAACAGAACTTACCTCCTGGGGCTGTATGAGGATTCCTTGAGCTAAGTGATTGTACGTGTGCTCGGCATAGGCTCTAGAACACAGTAGGTGCTCAGCAAGGCACTCTTTGTCCCTTCGTCCTGCACCCTTGCTGTGTTTAGAGAGGGGAGCTGGGCTGGGATGCGCCCCATCTAGCCTCAGCCCCTGATAATCCTTGCTTCTTCCTGGGCACTCTCGTTGAGAGGCAGGCGGGGCCTTACCTGGGTGGATGTCCTGAAACAGGGACTTCCAGATGGTGTACTGCAGGGGGCCTGTGTACTTGGAGGTTGGAAAGTCTTCGTATGTCAGGTTGGTCTCGTGGATTTTGCCTTTGAGCCTGGAAGGAGAGCAGGAGAGCCGGCTGCATCGGGGGCTGGATTCCCGTCCCAACACGGGGGCCCTGCGGCCAGCCACCTTCCCGGTAGCTAACACAGGTGAGGTTGCGTGTGTGAAGTCTGCCGGACCCAGATTCAAGTGCCTGCTCGTACCGCTTTCTACCTCTTAGCTATCAGCCTCAGTTTCCTCATCTTTATAATGGGCCCTGTGATAGCACCTGCCTTCTAGGCTATACGGATTACATGGCATAACATACACAAAATGTTTACCACAGTGCTTAGCCATGGTCAACGCCAAATACATGATGGTAGTTATCAGCATGGATCATCAACAAATCCGTGATTAGGTGTTACTGTCATTAAAGGTGGCACCAGAGAGACCTGGGGTTGAATCCTGGCTCTCCTGACACGCCACATGAGGAGCCTCAGCCCACTGATGTAGCTTCTCTGTGCCTCAGTGTCCACATGTGTGACGGGGTTGATGGTGGTAACTACCTTCAGGAGGGCTATGATACAATAGCAATGTTATAAATAATATATCAATACGTACTGTAACATACATTTATAACACAAGTAATATACTGTATTATGTATATATAAATACATCAAGCCTTCAGCATAGTCTCTGGCACACGAAACATGTCCAATATATTTGATAAAGATTGGAACGAATGAATTCTCTGCTAACCGCCCCATCTGCCCCATCCCCACCACCCCGCATGGGCTGGGGAGGGGATACCCATCTGGGGAAGGTCCCTGACAGGCGGGCACTCACCTCTCTGACAGTGAGGCCACCCCGGCCAGGAAGGTGTGTCGGTCCGTCTCGGCCAGCCGCTCCTGCAGGATCTGGGCCCCTTCCTGCACCTTGCGCAGCTGCTGGCTGTAGCGCTGGACTTTCTGCTCAATGTCGGTCAGTGTGCGCGCCGTGTCGGCCTCCAGCTCCTCCAGCATGGCCTTCTGCCGCTCCCGCAGCAGCCGGTGCAGCCGCTCGAAGGCCTCGCTGATAGTGGTGCGCAGGCTTTTGGTGGAAGACTGTGGGGACAGCCGTCAGGGTTATGTTAGGGAGAGCAGGTGGGGCGACCCCTGGGTGAGAGGAGGACACTGAGAGCCTTAGCACTCGGAGAGGAAAGGGGGAGAGGACACGCTTGATGGGGGCAGGGGCGTGAGAGAAGGTACGGTGGTCCGAAATGACTCCCACGGCCAGGCGCAGCCAATGATTCTGTGCGCCCCATTAGGAAACTAATGGGGTGGTCCAGGTGAGACAATGAGGCATGAACGGCAGGATCAGCAAAAGGACATACATGTCTTGAAAGACATTTAGGGTGTCAAAGACACCTTTGGCCCTGGTGACCACCTGGCAGGCTGCAGTGAGGAAGGTGTGAGGATGATGCCCGATTTCTGGCTCGGGGGTCAGAGGGATGGGAAGCCGAAGCTGGTATAGGGGGCGGGGAGAAAGTTGTGAGTGTCACCTGGGATACAGTTGAGTCTTTACTTTTTAACCAAATCACTCACGGGCTCAAACAAAGATGACAAATAGATGACAGATATCAGAAGCTTTAGAAACTGCAATACGCGGGGCAAACCTCGGTGGTCACTCGCCCCGTCTGTCCCACCACCCCTGACACCCGCTGGCCAAGGAAGAGCAAGGGCAGGGCACAGGCTTCTGTGCTCATCGCGATGGGGAAGCACCTAGCCCTGGGTCTGGAGCAACCTCAGCTGCCTGCTGTCTGAACCTGAGTTCTCTTATCCGTGAGAGAGGGAGCACAACCACACTGCAGGGTTACGGTGCGGGTTAAGTGAGGGAACGCTCACCACATGCATGGCATTGTTCGAGGTTCAGAGAAAGAGCCTGCCAATTAAAAAGGCATCAGTTCTAACGCATCCTGGAAGTCTTCACTGACAGCTGGCTTCTGAGCTGCAGCCCGGAGGATGAGCGGGATGTCAACCGCGGGCGAGGGAAATGGAAAGAGGGGCCAGCGCGAGTCAGGATGATACACACAGGGCACGGGCGTGTGGCCCGGCCACAGCAGTGTGTGGGGCCTGCCTCTGCGATCTCACTTTGTGGGATTCTGGCTGGGAGTTCACAGAGTCAGGCGTCCTGCGGTGCGCAGTGTCCAGGGCTCTGTGGGAGGCTCCACAAAGGCTCAATTAGGGCCAGTTCCCTCCCTGTCTGGGCGGCCGGCCTGCAGGAAGAACTGCTGGCAGTGGGCCAGCCTCCCTGCGCATGCCCACCCAGAGCGCCAGGCAGACAAAGGGGTGGGGGGGAGGCTGGGGAAGAACAACCAGGCTGCCTGTGGCCTTCCTGAGCCCCTCACTCAGGGCGGGCAGAGGCTTCTGCAGTGGCAGGTCGCAGACAGAGAAGACGGGGCCTGCCCTTCGGGCACCATCGTCCGCTGCCCTGCAAAGTTCCCCCAGTCCCATGGCCGCCCCTTCGACTCCCCCCTCAACCTCTGTGTAGCAGCCTTTGGCCCATGGGGGCCCCCTCTACTAGCTGAAAGTTCTGGTTTGCCTCCCACCTCTGTGGTTGCTCCCTCCCTGCCACCCAGGTTCTTCGGGGTGTGCCTGGGGCAGCTCCTCCCCTTCTCATCCCACGTGTCCTCTCGCACTGCCGGCTCTCCTGGCTTTGAGGATGGCTCCCATGTCCTGTCCTTACTGTTAGCCTTCCGCATCTCCTGAGCACACATTCATCTTTCTACCTGCCTCTTCCACACATAACCCGGGACCCGGAGGCCCTCCAGTTCACTCGGTCCAAAGTCAACTCTGTGTCTCGGCCAACAAACTCACTGCCTGAGTGATCCTTCCAATGCGTAAACTGGGTCACGGCCAGTTCTGCGTCTGGGGGCCTTTCTTGGCTCCTGGATGACTAGTTAAGTTCCAAATTCCTTAGCCTGGCATTTAGAGTCCTTAATTAATCCTATCTTACCTCTCTAGTGCCACTGCATTTCCATTCTACCTGCCTAGAGTGGACACCCCAACAATCATTTATTCAAAAGCTATCTCCTCTGTGACACCTTCCTTTACTTTTTCAAGCAGTTACTTAAAAGTTCCCAGAGCATTTTATAAATACTTAATGCGCTGTCCCACGGTTCATGTGGCTCCCGGCTAGATCAACCCCCCTGCCCTATGGTAATGATGTCTTCCTCGGCTCTACCCCTCAACCACCCCCCCACCCCCCTCCATCCCAGGGCTTGATGCAAGGCTGGTAGCAGCCTGAGAGGTAAAGGAGTGAAGGGTCTTGCCCAAGACTACTCTACAAAGGTGGGTGCAAACTCCACCTTATTTCTAGGGGGGAGCCCAGGATTCCCCAGAAGAACAGAGGATGGGTAGGGAAAGTGGGAGAGGCAGCTCTGAAGTTGAACATCTGGGTGGCAGCCACCCCAGGAGACCCAAGCATGTTTCCTGACCTACCCGGTTTGCTGATCACAAAGCCAAGGATCCGGCTGAGGTTCTCCCAGCACGAGGCTGGGATGGGCACTAGGTTCTGACAGAATTGGAACATAAGCTTCCAATTGGCCACTGACTAGCTCTGGGACCTCAGGCCAGCCCCTCCACCTCTCTGTGTCTCAGTCTCCTTGCTGATGAAATGGTGATAATAGTTTCTACCTCAAAGGGTGTTCCCACCCACCCCCTCATTTGTTCGAGGACTATTTCCTGTGTGGGAAGCACCGTGCTAGATCTGGGGAGTCCTGTTCTTGTGGAGGTGGTGTGCTGTGCGGCAATGCATGGGAAACAGTTTCTAGCAGAGGAAGGTTTATCCTAATGGGTGTGTCCCAGTTACGTTAGTTCTTTCTATGGAAGAGCTACCCCATCGCCCCCGCCCCCCTGCCCCAGTAGTCCCTTCACTGCTGAGGCTGGGAAAGAAGCCCCCGCCCCAGCCCACCACCTCCCTGGGAACACACTGGGGCTTGGAGGAGCTGGGGCCATTACAGAAAAACACCCTGCCAAGAATGCATCGCTCAGGCAGAGCCGACCAAGGAAAACACTGGGCCTGGGGAGGTCAGACAGACCCTCCGGCTGGGCCACTGGGGGAGCAGGCGCCGCAGGAAAGCCGAGTCAGGCACCAGGTGAAATATGACCTCCAAAGCATCCATAGGCATCTCTTGTATAAACACCCTGGTCCAGACAGGAAGCAGGGCTGGGGGAGCTGGAGGGGAAGGTGGCCCCACAGGACCCCCCAGAGGTAGACAGATGGACAGGAAATCAGAGGAGGAAGAGGTCAGTGGAGAAAAACAAGGAGGGGGATGGAGAAAGGAGAATGCTGGGGAGAAGAAACAGACCATCACATTCCCACCTCATCCAGACAGAGGCTTCCATTTGCTTCTCTTTTCGAGGAAGGCATAGAATCACCAGGCAGATGGGGAAACTGAGGCTGTGAGAAGCAGACAGGCCAGAGTCCTGGCACTGTTTCTCATCTGTTGCCTGCGGGGGGTCCTGCCCGGAGGGTCCCTCTGGAATGTTCTCTGAAGAAATGTGTGAGACCCCACAGCAGGTCACCACGCCGGGGCACAGATCTGGATCTCCCATGGCCTCCTGGTGCTCCAGTGTGGCCTCCCCAGGCCCAGAGCATTCCTAACGCCCCGCTCCAGCTGCTGCTGGCTGTGGCGCTCCTGCCGATGAAGTGCAGCCAGAGTGAAATCACCTGAGAGCCCAGCAGCTGGGCCTGGGTCCCCAGTTCTTGGTCCCAGAAAGACGGGCCAGCAATCAAAGCAAGCCTTGCCCAGTTAGTGAGCTGTCTGTGAGGGGAGCTTAGAGGGAGCACCTCAGACGTGCGCCAGGATCCAGAAGCGAGCTGCGAGGAGCCTGGCAGAGTCCGCACTGTACGGACAGGAACTCCATAAAAGTATGCAGTTTTCTGCAAGTCACACAGTGAGTGAGTGGCTGTCTCAGAACTCACAGCCCCCCTCTCAAGTCAAGAAAAAAGGCTTTTTTTTTTTTAACCATGGTAGCCAGAGACTGCAGGGTTTGACCCTATTTTTCAGAATCCATAAGCCCATGGCCGGAGCTTCAAGGGAAGATGTGTTTAATGATGCAAGAGGGGAAAAGACCCCTGCAGGGAGCCAGGATTTTCCCCAGGGTCCCTGGTCCTACCTCTACTTCCACCCAAAGAAGGGAGAAGAGGGCCCACTCTTAACCTAAGCGCTAAACCAAATCCTTGACCTCAGTCACCCTGGAGTGAGTCCCACCCCGTTCATCTTTGCTGAAACTTCAACCTCATTTTCACTCCCACAGCTCCGACCCTTCCACTTGGAGTTTGGCCCCTCAAAGCCCCGCCCCCACAGTAGGCACCAGCCTCTGCCCCTCTCTTTCCCTGCTGGCCCCGCCCCCAACGGAGCCCCGCCCCATCCGGCCGGCTCCACCTCCGAGCCCAGGCCTGGCTCACCTTGGTCTCCGCCAGCTGTCGTTTGAGGAGCTGCAGCGCCTCTGTGTGCTCCCGCTCGCTGTCCTGAAGGGCCTGAAGCTGCTCCTTCAGCTCCCTCTGCGGGGGAAAAAGCCCCAGTTTACAGGGGGTTTACTGCCAGTTTCTGTGATGTGAACGCTCCCACCCAAGCCGGTTTCAAGCTCTCAACAGGAGAGGTCACAGGACACCACCCGGCTGCGAAGAGGTTTGCATGGTCAGCTCTCGGGAACCGGTACAAACTGGCTCCAGCACATCACTGCCTCGGGTCCTTTCCTTTAGACTTATTATTTTTTTTGCATGGAGGAGAAATACACCGCCATCTAATTTCAGCTCCTTTTAGTCAGGTCTGGATTACTCACAGCTGAAAGTCATTCCTGATTGATTCCTGTGCATCTGAGCCGCTGGAGCAGATGGATCTCATAAGAGCTGCTCAGGCCCTCCCTGGCTGCCTTGGGCCCGTCCAGCTCTGGACAAGGTCTGGCGGAGATGCGTGTTTGAGGAGGTGGGCCCAGTGCTGCAGTCTTCCCCACTGGTGGTCCTCGTGGGTCCGCAAAGGACCCAGCACCCCCAGGTGGCTCTTCAGAGTCTGAGAAAACTGCCCTGGAGGCTGTGTTCTGAACAGGGCCCCTGAGGGACTGGACACATTCCTTCCCGCCTTCATGGCCAGCGAATAGGGATGGCAGGCCTGTCCCTTCCTCTTGGACCCCAGCAGCACTCGAATGGGGCCCCACATGGTGCTGTGTCAGGGAGAGTGATGAGGGACAAGTTCCAACCCATGATGCTTCAGGAGAGGTGCAGAGGAGTTGGGAACACAGCGACACAGACATTAACATCGCAGTGAATGCTGGAAGTACAATATTAGGGGACTCCCAACCTACCCCACCATGTTCCCCATCTCAGTGAAGGGCACCCCACCCCCCACTGCCAGTGAAGCCAGAAATCAGGGAGTCATCTTTGACACTGTTCACCTACCAATCCAGTCTTCAGTTTGCCCTGAAATTTGTTACCCACTCTCTATGCCTTCTGCCATCACCACCCCCACCCCTTAGCCCCCCTCCAAACTCCTGGGCTGTGGCCCCAGGTCCCTCCCTGCCCCTGTACTTTCCAAGTGCGCCCCCCCCACCCCACCCCATCCCAGCAGCTGGAGGGATTGTTGTAAAGGGCAGATGTGTCCATGTTTCTCTCCCTGCGCCTTCTGCAAGATCTCCACAGTCTGGGAAGAATAGCACACGTCGGAACAAGGTATTCAAGGCCCTTCACCATGGGCCCCAGATTTCTTTTCCAGCCTTATCTCTTGGTCTAGACCTGCACGGTGCAATACGGTAGAGGTCTACTAGCCACATGTGTCTGTTCAAATTAAAACAAAATCAAAACTAAATAAAATTAAAACTTATGTTCCTCAGTTGCACCGGTTGCACTGGGGTGCACGTTTCAAGTGCTCAAAAGCCACAGGTAGCTCGTGGCGTCAGCATCAGACAGCACAGATGCATGGCACTCCCACCATTCTAGAAGCTCCTGGACGGAGCTGCTTTAGAGGCACTAAGCACCCTGCTTGCCGTCCTCCAGGTCTTTGCACCTGCTGTTCCCTCTGTCTGTCTGGAGTGCTCACCCACATTGTTCTTCACTTACTACACTCACGCCCATCTCTTAAGACCTAGAGTAAATGTCACCTCCACTGAGAAGTATCTTACACTGTCCACACTGCCCTAGGCACTCCTTCACTGGCACCATGGTGGCACATGTGGCATATCCACTACAGAGTGACCTGTCCATCTCCCCTATGAGACTGTGGGCTCTGGAGGGCAGGGCTGCATCTGCTCGATTTTCGCTCTCAGTACCTAGGACAGGGCCAGGCACAGAGTGATTTCACTGTGAATCTGTCCAGGGAAGAGGCTGCACAGATCTGAGCTCACCTCCGGAAGGGTGGGAGGGGAGAGAGTCCCAGGCAGGCAGCTCACCCCAGGGGGGCTTCCCAGACTGAGGGAACAGCTAACTTAGGAAAGCCAAACCCTGGAACTCACAGAGCAGGACTAGGAGGCAGCCTGAGCTTTGCCTCCACCCCCTCCCCGCCCCCTTTCCTCATCTCCTTCCAGGCCTGGGATCAGACCTGGTCAGGAAGCTGGCTCTGCCACAGGCTCGCTGTGTGACCTTGGGCACGTACCCCAACTCTCTGTGCCCCAGCCCCTCATCTGTGAAGTGGGGATAACAATACCTCCTATGGTTGGGAGGGTGAAATGAGATGAATACCAGGAAGCATGTAGCCTCACAGGCCAGAGCTTGGCATACACTGAGCGCTCAGGAGATGGAGTGCTCACCATGTCCCAAGTGAGGCTTTGAGTCACTTCTCCACATCCTCACCCCTTGCTGTGTCCAGGTGCCTCCCTGCGTCCTCAGGCAGCCAGGGCAGGAAGGAGCTCCCGGGACCATCTGGTCCAGCCCCCTGGATTTCTGAAACAGGAAATTAAAGTCCAAGAAGAGGGACCAGGTGGCCCACAGCCACATGGATTGACACAGGAGGACCAACCGGGTAATTTACCCCTAGCAGAGGTCTGAGAAGAAACACGAAGCTATCAATAAACTCCTAAGTGACAGGGCTAACCGGGGGGAAGGATTGTGGCACTGCCAGAGCTCAGGACCAGACGGGCTGGAGGTGGCGTGATTGGGGTTTGAATTTCACAGGCGTCATGTTATCTAATTCTCACAAGCTCATGAGGTTAGTGCCTTATCACCTCCGTCTCACAGAGGGAGAAACGGAGGCTCAGAGAGGTCATGCGGCTGGCCTAAGGTCACTCAGCTCAGGAGGGGCTCTGAGTGACTCCAAATCCGTGCTGGAAGCCCTTGGCTGCTCTGTCTCCCACTCAGTTCAACACAGCATCATGTCTGGTCACCCACGGTCAGGCCTTGGGCCAGCCACTCCAGGGGCTACAGACACAGTCTTGCCCTTGAGGAGGCTGCAGTTGGTTGGGGAGGCAGAAACGTGAATATGAAGACTCCATGGGAGAACGGAATAAACATGGTGGGACCACCTAGGAACCAACCCAACTGGCTGCCACCACCCGACTGTGTTTGTGACACCCTCCCTCCACCTCAGTTTCCAAATCCGTGAAGCGCAACTAATAGCAGTGCAGGCTCCACGGGATTGTGCAGATTACATGACGACCTAATTCACGACCCGCCACGATGCTCAGATGTGCTCTGTTGCTCTTAGCTGTTGTCATTATCATCACGGTAATTACAATTATATGGAAAGTAGGGGCTCAGACCTGGGGAGCTTCCAGGAGAGAGTTTATTTTTGGTGGAAGGATCAGGGAAAGAGGTGGGCAGGGTTCCTTCTAGTCTCCAGGGTAGGGCCCAAGCGTTTCGCTGGACAGGACTAGTCAGGCAGGGGCACACCTACCCGGTGTGTGCAGGATGTGGGGGCAGTAAGGGACGGCAGGAGCCAAGTATGTGGCCAGGGGCAGTCACAAGCCGAAAGGCCATGAGGCCGGCTCAGGTGAGCGTTGGGGGCGTGGAGAAGGCCTTGAAGGTCAGCCTGGGGGAGCTGGCCTCTGCAGGGGCCAATCAGAGCTGAGGCAGGGCAGGAGGAGGGGAGAGGAGGAGGCACCTGCAGAGGGCAGAGCCACAGCTCTCCACCCCTTCCCCCAGAGAGGGGACGGAGTCAGGGCTGGTGCAGACCTGAGCACACAGTTACACAAAAATGTCAGCTGAGAGGCTCTGGGGCTCCCGAAGCCTTGGAGAGGCCAGGGCTGGGACAGCAGCTGGGTTGGACAGAGAGCCAGACCTCCCCTCCTGCGAGGCCACCCTCTCCCAGCCCAGAGGACAAGGCTGCCTCAGGAAGCCATCTCCCCTTGACTTCCCCTTGACTTCAGGGACTCTGCCCCCTCACCGATCAGCGTAGCCCAGTGGAGGCAGCATGAACTCTGGCATCAGAAAAGTCTGGGTTCTAATCCCAGTGGCACTTCTTTCCTTTCTCAGGGCCCACCTCTTGCAGCCCTGTCATCAGATGGGGATAAGAGCCATCACGAGGCTGTGATGAGGATTAAATGAGACGGCACCCATGAAAGGGCCCAGCATGGTGCTGGCACGTCGGAGGTGCTTGAGGCCCTCTCCCCTTCTCCTTGCCCTGGTACTGCTCTCTCTTCCCTTCTCTCTCTTCCCTCTCACCCAAGGATGCTGGAAATCTTCACAGGGCAAACTGAACTTGCCTCTCCTTTTTCCTTTCCTCCCAACCCTTCTTCAATGCCCAGACTCCCTATGCTCCTACTCCTCCCGACAGATATGAACTCTTGTATATCTTGTCTGTCTCTGAGCTTTGCCGCCTCTGGCCACACATCCTGGCTGCTCCCCCAGCCTCCAGGCTCTCCCACCAGGCCACCCTGAGCAGATGGGACCGGGCCATGCACGCCTGTTCAAACCTGTTCCTGGCTCCACTGCATCTCCAGGATCAAGTCCAAGCTCCTTGGGCTGGGGGAGGGTGTATTCAAGGTCCTTCTTGAGCTGGTCAGACCTCTCCCATTCTCACCTCCTCCCATATAGCCTCCCTTCCAGCCACAGCAAATCACAGGGTGCTCACCTCCACGCCTGTCCCTGGGCAGACTCAGGTAACCTGAGTCGGAGTTCCAGCTTCAGTGACACTTAGTGGTTGTACTTAGGCCTAGTTCCTGAGCCTCAGTTTCCTCATTTAAAAATGTAGCGATGAGACCCAGTTCATAGGGTTGCCGTGAAGATTAATCAAGAGAGAGAGGGACAGAGAACCACAGCAAGGCCGGGGCTCATTCCTTCTCTCCCGGGCCCCCCACAGGCTGTAGCCTCAGTATCTACAACAGGGGTGTCAACTGGAGAAATTACGGAATTAATCTCTGAGTACAAAATGTAACCCACCTCCAAGTCCTCCATGCCCCTCCCCCACCCCCAGTGTCCAAGCAGCTCTCAAGGTCCCGAAGGTCAATGATGCTGTGAAAACGCCACCGGATGAGAGCCCACAGAGCTGGGTTCCGGTCTAGCCATGGGTGTGTCCACTTCCCATGTGGAAAGTGGGGAGAGGGTGGAACTGGATGGCTTCCGAGCTCCCTCCCCATTCGGATGCTCCCTGAGGCAGTTCGAATATTGGTGGGGAGGCCGAACTCTAGGCCAGACAGACCCTAGTCTGCATCCCAGCTCTGCCTCACACTTGCAGTGTGATCTCGGACAAGTTACTGGGCCTCTCAGCCTCAGTGTATTCATCTGTGCGATGGGCTGATCCTAGTCCCACTCGGAGTAGGGAAGGGAGGCGGGGCTGCTGTGAGGATTCAGTGCCTGTAACAGCACCCGGCAAACAGCACGTAGCCAGTAGACTTCGGCCAGTGCCTTTTTTAGAGTTGTTATTACTTCTGTAGTCACTCCCTACCAGGTCCTTTCCTCTCTATGAAATGAACTTCAACTCTAGGTTTCCACACGGTAGCCTGTGCTTAGCCAAGGCGTCCTGAATGAACAGGACACCAGTGACGAGGGAAGTAAGACACCGACAGCTAGTCCTGGCTTTGACTCGCCGCCAGCCTCGCCCCCACGGAGGCTGCTGCTTGCACATAAAAGTCACAGCAGAGGCTGCCTCTCAGGACACAGGCAGCTTGGCTGCCTCCCTGTCCTTTGTGTCTGTCATTTCTTTGCATGGGCAGAAACTCTCTCTCCTTCTTTATACATGAAGTGGACAGTCTTGTTCCTACTTCCATTTCCCAGATTGGGAAAGGGTGCAGAGAAGGCATTACCTTCCATTCAGGTGGGGGAATCTAGAGGCAGAATTCAAACCCAGTCCCTTAACCCTTTAAGCTCTTTCCCTATGTGGCTGCCTCAGTGTCCCTGGATCCCTACACCAAGTTTTTCAAGGCCCCCATCCAAGGCTGACATACTGCTGTCTCCTGTGGCATGAAGGAGGCCTTGGGAACGGCTCCAGCGGTCACATGAGCCTGGAGAGGGTGGCTGGGCCTGAACCCGATCCTTTCCCTGGAGGTCAGGAAGCTGAGCTGGCCAGAGAGCCGGATACCATGCCTGACCAAGATGACATCCAGCCGCCTGCCCTTGGTGCATCAGCTGGCACAGACGGTGTCCTCAGCCTGACCCTGTGCTGAGTACTTGAAATACAAAGACAGGCAGGGAGGGGGTGGGGAGGTGGGAAGACGACTACCCGGCCTTCAGAGGCAGCTCAGTCTATGAGTGGCCGTGTCAGGGTGGCCTCAAATCCTGCCCCTGCCATTTACCAGCTGGGCGACCAAACAAGTCACTGCATTCCTGCGCCTCTGTTTACTTATCTATAAAGGAATCAAATTACAGTACCCACTGGGTAGGGCAGTATGAAGATTAAATGAGGTAATACCATAAATGCGCTTAGTACAGCCCCAGACATCAGACTAGAGCTCAGTAAGTATTGCCTGAGAAGTCCCCAAACCTGCTGAGATGGGGTTCCCTCCCTCCCCTTTGCTCTGCGGTCTAGTGCTCAGCAGTAAGAAAAAGAAAAAAAGAACCCCCCCCCCACACACACACTCATATACACATTCACATGCTATTTACACAACAAAAATTCTGTAGAACTAGAAAACAATTCTAAGCAAGTTTTCCCATGGGGTGGGACTACTGGGAGACTTTAACTGTTACATCATAAGGCTCTGTTTATTATGCTAATCCTATAATCTGAAAAAAATTAAAAAGACACTTAAAAATTGGTGTGTGCCAGGCACAGTATCAGGCACTTTTTAAAAACAGATTTTGTTTACTTATTTATTTTAGAGAGAAAGGAAGGGAGATAGAGAGGGAGAGAAACATCAGTGTAAGAGAAACATCAGTTGGTTGCCTCTTTTAAGCGCCCCGCCTAGAGACTAAACCCGCAACTCAGGCATGTCCCCTGACCAGGGATTGAACTGGTGACCTTTCCCTTTGCGGGACAACGCCCAACCGACTGAGCTGCACTGGTCAGGGAAGTATTTGGCACTTTTGACGTAGGATCCCTCACCTTTACACTATCTTTCACCCCTGATATAGGTGAGCAGGTGGAAGCCTAGAGAAGGGAAGTCACCTGACCAAGGACACACAGCTCTCGATGCTGATGCCAGGGTCTGACCCGGTATTAGAATCTGGAGAGTGCCAGGCAGTTCTGCCTGGCAAGTCAGGGAAAGCTTCACGGAGCAGGTGACACTTGAGCTGAGCCTGGAAAGCTGAGTAGGACTTCTTCAGGCCTGGGTGTTCAACCACGGGTGATTTTGACCCTGGGGCACATGTGATGAAGTCTAGAGACATTTTGGGATGTCGCAGCTTGGGGAGAGGGGTGCTACTGGCATCTAGTAGGTAGACAGAGGCTGGGGACGCTGCTAAATATAGGGTGCACAGGGTTGCATCTGTGCCTTGCACAGAACAAAGCCTTCTCTGACCCGAAACGTCAACAGTGCAGAGTATGATGTGGTATCCTATAGCTGTCATTATTTATTATTTATTGAGTGCTTACTATGTGCCAAGTACAGTACTAAGTTCTTGCAAATGTCCTCTAATTTAATCCGACCCCATCACTCCATGCTGTCAATGAGGAATGTAAGGCTCACAGAGGATAAGTAACTTCCCTAAGGTCACACAGCCAGGAAATGGCAGTGCCAGGGTTGGAGCTGTCTGAACACACAGCCAGAGAGCTCTAAACCTTTCTGCTCTGCTGCCTCCAGGATTGATAATAAATGTAAAAGCTCCAGACCAACTGCTAGGCAGGGTGAGGGGGGCGGTCTTCGGCTGAGCCTATGTCCAGCCTCCTCTGGCCTTGAGGCCTTGGGCAAAGTCCCCCACCCGCTTCTGCCATTCCCCATCTGTTAAGTGAAGGTTGCACCAGACAATCTCCAAGGCCCTGGCAACTCTAAGTCTGTTATCTTTAGGAGAAGGGCCCAGTCCCAGGCTCCAGGAGCCTGCAGCTGGGAGGGGAGCGGGTATGGTGGGCAGACTCAGCCTCATTTCCAGCACCTAAACAGCTAATGAGCTGGCTTCCCCACCAGGAGAGAGATGCAGATAAAGGTTGGGAGTGGTTTGAGCCTCACCCAGGAGCTTACCTCTCCACTAGGGAGGCATGTTTCTCTGTCACCTTCTTGCCAAGCTCAAAGAGGCACCAACGCCAGGCCTTGTCAGGCAAGAGAGGCATGTCTGGGCATCCCCCCATCTGGGCACATGAGTTCTCACAGGTAGGAGGAGAAAGAATGGGAGTGCGTGCTGACCCCAGCCCCTACCATGTGCCTAGTGTCCCTAAAAGCAGGTCCATCTTTCTCAGGTCAGCCTCATGAAAATCCCTGTAGGAAAGAATCATCTTGACCCAACTTTACAGATGGGAACATCAAGTCTTACAAGCAGTGACTTGGCTGAGTTACACAGGTAGTGTTGAAGGAAGGTTTGGAAAGAAAGTGTGTTTGACCCCAGGACGGTAACCACAAGGTAGTGAGTGGTGGTCCTGTTGTCGTTTCCCCTAAGAATGAAAAGGGATTCAATAATGTCTGCAGAAAATGTATGTTCAATCGCTCTTGTATTCCCCGGGACACAGCATGGACTACAAAATACCAAAACACAGTGATTCTGATTTTCTGGTTTACCAAAAGAGGGACCAAGTTTCGGGGAGAAGATTTTCCAACTAGAAAGTCACACAGGGAGAGGAGGGGATGAGCAGCTGGGGAGGGATCTGGCCTGGGTCCGGTTGTGCTTTCTAGCCCAGATCTCTCGTTGTCTGGCATGTGGCTTGGGGTATGTCACGTCACCTGTCTGGACCTCAGCCTCCACAGCTACATAATGGAGAGGATGGTGGACACATGGTTTCAGACAGAGTCCCTTCAAACTATTACAACCTGCGCCCAATTCTGTCAAAGGCTCTTTCCTCTTCCTAGTTTGTGTGCCTTGGACAAGGAAGGTAGAGGGCCAATACTAGCCTTCTACAAGCCCTCAGAGCCCCCAACCCTTGCTCTCTATCCTTAAAGAGCCAGACTGGAAGAGAGCCAGTCATGGTTTGAAATGAAAGGGAGAGAGAATGGATAATGGTGAGCATGAGGCCATTTCTCCTGGGGCCAATGCTCATCTCCATGGGCATCTGCTAGGTGCAGGCTGACTTGTAGGAAGTCATGTAGAAGGGCAGGCTGGGGGGTGGGGGGGAACTCTCTACAACATGGGACAAAGTAGTTATTTTTCTCCTGCATAAGCATCTTGAGGTTCAGAGAGCTCACTGTCTCCCAGGTTAGCCCACTGCATGTTCATAAAATGTTTGCATCAAAAACCTTCTGCTTCCAGAGTCTCCATAAGTCTTGGCCAGCTCTGGCCAAGGTTGGTCATTCATTCATTCAGCCTTTACTGATATGTGCTGTCGACCAGGCCCTGTGCCAGGCTCTGGGGCCACAGCTAAGATGAATAACAGACTGTCCCTGGTCTTGGGGAACTGTGTGCTGGACTGGTATGCCAAGGCCAGAGACATGAGGGGCTGGATTTAAATGATTTTGCTTGAGAAAAAGATTCCAGGCTCCAGTAAGCTTGGGAATCATTTTATTAAATATAGTAAAATGAGTTTCTTGCTATAAGATTTCTCCAAGCCTTTAATGTGCAAATGTACACTGAGAATCCTCCAAAGGGTGGATAGAGAATATACTATATCTCCCAGACATAGCTTTCTGGAACACCACTTTTTAAAACATCATACTTATTAACAGAGAATGTTAGGGGAAATGCAGCTCTAGTGCAATTTTTTTTTTTTTTTGCCAGTGGATCTTGGGGAGGCTTACACAGAGAGAATGTTTGAGCAAGGCTTTCAGAATTTAGTAGGAGCTCGTTAGTGAGGACAGGAAAGTTTAAGGGAGAATGTTTACAGTCCTGGGCTGACTGTGCTCAGATTTCTGCACATGTACTGTTTCGTTTAGTCCTCAAAGGTCCTAATGTGGGTGACGGAGCCAAGGAGGTCATCAAAAGCCCCTGGAGACTCCTACAGGTCCACACCCTGCCTTCTCAAGTCACCTTACCCCAGGGCCTCATTCTCCAAACCTTGAGTCCTCAAGTCCTGACCTTAAACCCAAAACGGTTCCTACAGTGTCCGGACTAGATCCCAGCCTTAACCCCTCACACACCTCGGCCTAGCTGTTGGCACCTGAACCGACCCTCTTAGCAGTTCGCTGACTCTAACTTGGACTCTGTCTCAGATTTAATCCTTCGAGTACTGTCCCTCGATCGTGATGCACACCTGACTGAGCCCCGTCCCTTTGGGCTCCACACCTGCTGCTCGGCTACTCCATATAGTCCTGGCCCATTTTGGGAGGCAGTTCCACCCCATGCCTAGCCTTGACTGTGTTCCCATACCAATCTGTATTTGTCCCAAACTGTCCTGAACCATTCTTCTGTGGCCAGGTCCAGCCCCTAATGACACTTGACAGTGGCCCTATCCTTGCCCAGCTCTGATTCAGCCCATCCCCAACCCTGTCGCAACCTGTACCTGGTCCAGTTCTGATTTCATTTGTCCTTCCCTCACTGCATTGCTGACCTCTCCCCAACCGTGGACCTACCCCAACTTCAGGTCTATCTCAGGCCTCGCCCCAAGCCCCGCCCCTCACCGCAGCCCTGCACCGGCCCCCTCTCCGTACTAATTCTGATAGGGCCAGAACCCTGCCGGAGACCCCGCCCCGTGACAATTCTGACTGGGCCCCGCCTACGGACCAGCCCTGACCCCGCCCCCGGGCCGGCCCCGCCCCCCGGCTCCCGGCCTGCCGCGCTGCCCACCTGCAACTCCTCGAAGGCATCGTCGATGCCGGTGACTTGGTGCTGCTCGTGCAGCGCGGGCTCGTCGCAGAAGAAGCAGAGCAGTGCACGATCCGTGAGGCAGAAGAGCTTGACCTTGTCGTGCGCCTGGCAGGGTCGTGCCGCACGGCGCGCATTGAGGATGGCGTCCAGCGGGAAGGCGCTGTAGCGCTCCACGATGTTGGCCAGCTTGAGGCTGGGGGCGAACGCCGGCTCGGCGAACGTCCGCCGGCACTCGGGGCAGTCGCGGGCGCCCTGCGCCTCCTGCCGCACCCAATGCTCGGTGATGCAGCGGCGGCAGAAGTAGTGCTCGCAGCCCAGGCTCACAGGGTCCTGGTAGATGCTCAGACAGATAGAGCAGAGCAGCTCGTCCTTGAGGCTGCAGGCCATGGCTCAGGGGGCGACGGAGATGGGGGCCTGAGATGCAGGGGGCCTGCCGAGAGAGCGCGGCGTTGTTGGGGGCAGCACGGAGGGATGCGTGCGGGAGCAGGCAGGGAGAGAAAGGAGTAGGCGCTACAGAAGGAAGGAGAGCGGTCGGTCCTGGAGGCGGGTAACGTGAGGAAGGGGTAAGGAGTAGAGACTACCGGAGAGCTCAGGAAGGTGGTCTCAAGGCAATGAGTGACCTGGAGCGACGGGTGCTGGAGGGAGGGGGTCTGAGGGGAGGGACTCCTGGCAATAAGGTTCTAGGGGAAGGCACAGCCCGAAGGAATGGGTGCTGGAGAAGGGAATCCAAGAGGGGGACGGAGGCCTCGAGGGGGGTTGAAATCCCGGGATGGGTGCGATGGGGGGAGGGGAGAAACTGGGGATACGGAATTCTGGGGGAGGGAGAAGCCAAACGGAACCGCACCGCGGCTGTACGAGGGAGAGGAAAGAAGGGGTGCAAGCACACTCAGCAGCCCGGTCCCGGGCCCAAGACCCGGCTTGGCGCGTATCCTTACCCCCGCCGGCTCAGCAGTCACTGCTCTGGTCCCAGCGCAGGCTCTCAACCCGGAACCAGCCAAGCGGGAGCGCCAGGCAGCTGAGACTCCGTCCCCGCCCCCGGGGGCGGGACCCAAGCGACTCCGCCCTCCAGGCAGGCGGGGGATGGAAGGGGCGGGGCCCAGCCTCTAGCTGGTGGACCCCCTCCCCGCCCCAACCATTCTCCAACTCCCGGGGGAGCGAAACCCAGCTGTTCCTTTAGGGTTTGCACTTGGAACAACATCCAGGTCTTGCTGAGGTTCCCTGAGGCGGGTGGGGGCGGGGAACAGCTAATTTGAGAGCTAACGAGTAAAGGAGGAACATCTTTTTGGATCATCAATTTGAAGATTTGGGAAAAATAATATTTTGTATTAAAACAAACAATAATATGTGTGTAATCTGCATAGAATACAACTTTTGCAGAACATATACAGACAAAACTCGAGAAATACCCTACTTGCTTAGAGCAAGTTCAAGACCCTCACGTTTCTAAGCCCTGGGGTCCCATTTCCTTTTCCCTTTCTTAAAGAGTGCTAGAGGGAGAAGTTTGGAAAGCCCTGGCCCTGGCTAATGTCTGACCCAAGAAATTGCCTCCATTCAGCAAACATTTCTGGAGTGCCATATTTGTGGAAGTGTGGGGTGGGGGTGGGGTGGGAGGTGGAGCAGGAGAGCAGGAGAAAGAGTAATAGGAGACCTTGTCTTGTATGCCAGATGGAGAGGGGATTTTAGGCAGAAGGGACAGCATGTGCAGAAGCATAGAAGCGTGAAAGGGGAGGGCACATTAGGGGGAAGTGCAAGTAGTTCTCTAACTATTGGGGGTGGGTTGGGGAGGGGCTTGGGTGAGGTGGAGGGTGTTGAGGGTCACAGTACCAGATTTCCTGAAAGCGTGGGGCTTTCAAGCAGGGAAATGACCTGGTGTGTGGTGGGTTTCAGGAAGTCAAGGAGATGCTCATCAGAAAGGTGAAAGCGGAGACCCTTTCTGATGTGTCTGCCTGTATGCAGGGCTCCTTACACAGTAAAGGTGTGTGGCTGAATAAATGCAGCAGAGATGTGGGTTGCAGGAAGAGAGCCTGGGCACCAGTTAGGTCACCGTTGTCATAGTGCCCGCAGGTCATGAGACCTGAACTGGGGCCATGGCAGTGGGTAAGGAGAGAAAACTAGGGTACTGAAAGTATAGACACTATGTCATTTGTAATAGACCTGATATGGGGGTGAGAGAGAGGGAGGCATTGAGCCTGGCTCCCTAGCTTCTGACTTCTCCAGCCAGGCCTTCACTGGAATGCAACTTTGTTAAGCTCGAAGTGTACGAAGTGTACGTCTCTGCTGTTCATGTGTCCTTCAGCACACCATCACCTGGTCCTGTGTCTCCATCATTGTCAGAAACATTCAGTTGCTCATGCAGCAATGATGCCTCATCTTTTCCTTGTAGTTAAAGCCCTGATTCCATTCAGGTGGTTCCCTTTCCCGTGTGACTAAGGGAAGGCTGACCCTAGCCCATTCCAGGAGTGAGTCCCATTTGGTCCAAGTCCACTGTGGAGGTCATATGCCTCTTGTCAGTGATGCTTTGGGCTTGGACACATGAGGCAGGTCTGGCCTGAAAAACCAGAGGGGAAGACTGTGGTGGGGAGGGAGCTTCTGGAAAGGATCTCCTCACTTTAAAAAACCCATCTACCCCCTTTGCTGCACGTGGATGTAGTTGGTGGTGATGCTTGGAATTACAACAGGCATCTTGTTCCCAGTCTGAGGAAGCGGCCAGCACATGACTGAGTCCAAGAGAGCCCTAAAGAGGAGGAGCTGGTGCTCTGACACAAAGCCTAGACTTTTGTATCTGTGAGATGGTCCATCTTATCGCTTAACAAGTTTAATCGCTGTGTGCTGTCACTTAGCAACCACAAGAATCCCAAATGATGTATTGATATGTACCCCCATTTTTTGTAAGGAGGGCGGAGTCTAAATTATTGAATTATTTGAAGTGAAATAAAGAGAAAAGTCTTCATTTACCCAACGTGTAATTCATCCATCTCTTCTATAGCAATGTGGTAGTGGGAAAAATGGCTGGTCAGCGAGGGACCCCACTGTCCAGCTGCTCTTGCAGCTGAGTGTGGCCTCCTGACTAAGTCCTTTTCAGTGGAATGTAAATACAAGACAGTCCTTAAGGCATTAGGTTTTTGCTTTTCCCTGCTTCATTCCCTCTTCCCTGCAGTTGGAACACAGATCTGCCAGGGACACAGATCTGCCAGGGACCCACTTCGATGGGGTGGACAGAGCAAAGACATGGAAGGAATCTGGGTTCCCGGAGGGCTGACTATATGGAGTGGAGCCACCCACCAATACGGACTAGAGCGTGAGAAATAAATTTCCATTTTCCACCAGCCATTGTATTTGCAGTCTTCATTGCGGCAATTTAGCATTCCCCATGTGTGTTATTCTATAATATGTTTTGAGAAGAGGCTCTCGTACTGTTTAATGGTATCGTGTAAAACCTCTCAATAGCTAAGTTCCTCTTAATTTCTAGCTCCAATCTCTTCCAAGGTGCGTGGAATATGGTTTCCTCTGGCTGAAAGTCACAGCCTATTTAACTCTTCATAATACTTTCCAGCTTTTAGCCTTTTCACCCTTCAAACTGTTTTTCTCCTGGCCATCTCAGTTGAGAAAGAAAAACCAAAAAGCAACAACAAAAAAACCACAGGCCCAAAATGGCGTCACTCATGCTAAAAGCCCAGGATACCAAACCTAACTTTAATACCCAATTTAATTGCAGTTCCAACCTCTCTCAGAAACATCATCAATCAATCTGGAATTTTCTGGTCGAGCACCAGTAAGGTAATGTGTTACAAAGCCCTCTCCATCCCCCATATAGAAAAGAGGCAATCAACACAACAAAAACCCTTCCCCTCTCTTCCCTCAAAGGAAAGACATCCAGGCCCCCAAACAATCCTTTTTTTTTTTCACTAATAGAAAAAAATCCCTGTTTTCCCTCCCTCTTTGCTATGAAACCCTCTATTCTGCACAACTCCTTGGAGTACTCTTCTGGCTGCCCGATAGGATGCTGCCCAGCTCATGAATCATCTAATGAAGCTAATTACATGCTCACATGTACTCAGCTGAATTTTGATTTTAACACAGTTAAGATGCTTAGCACTACACTCAAACTATTGGCTATAGTTAAGTTTGTCAAGCCACTGCTCCTTCTGGATCTGCCCCCCAGCCTGCGGCTGAGGGGTCCGACCAGCACTCGGAGACCCTGCCTGCCGGGAATGCCTCTGCTTCCATTCACACACCCAAACCAGTAACATCAGGAAGGGTTTTTTGGAAAAACAATCCAAGAGATATTGTTGAGTGAGAAAAAAAAGGAAGACCCAAACACACTTACAGACACATACTCACACACGAGCACACCCAGTCATGCACATGTGCATTCTATGTGTAGCCAAGATCTGTAGAAATCTAACCATATTAAATGTGTTTATATATGGGCTAGGATTTATGGAGGGGGCCTTCAACGTTTACATTGTATATCTCTGTTTATTTTGTATTCAGAAAAAAAGACAGTAGATTCTTATTATTTATGGATTCTGCATTTGCAAATTCCCTTACTGCTAAAATTTCCTTGCAACCCCCACATGAATATTTGAGGTGTTTTCAAAGTCGTTTGGGGACGTGTACATGCACGGAGTGGTGAAAATTTAGAGTTGCCAAACACACATGTTCCCAGCTGAGGTCGAACCAGGAGGCCTCTGCCCTTGGCGCTCAGGCTGTAAACAAGTGTCCTTTCTGTGGTCTATTCAGTGTCATGTTTTTCTCATTTTTGTGCTTCTTTGGTGGTGATTTTGCTATTTAAAACGGCCCCCAACTGCAGCGCTGAAGCACTACCCAGTGTTTCTAAGCACAAGAAGGCTGTGAGGTGGTGCCTTGGGGAGAAGAGATACGTGTTGGATAACCTTCATTCAGGAACTGAAGTATATAGTGCTGTTGGCCATGAATTCAATGTTAATGAATCAACAGTATACATTAAATTACGTGTTTTTAAAACAGAAGTGCACATAAAACAAGGTTGTGTATTGATTGGCTGGTGAAAACATGGCCAGAGACTCACAAGAATCCTGTATTTCCTTAAGGGGCAATGATTCAGTATTTGCCTGAATTTCAGTCTTTGGGGCAACTTTATAGAACAGAACTACTGTGAATAATAACGAGGGCCGACTACATTTAAACCTGTCATGTCCAACAGCATCCACGGGTAAAAGGTACCAACACCCACGTCCCTTTTCATCCAGGTCACGTTAACTCAGGTCTGCTCAAAGAGGGCAGGGCAAGGAGGTGAACAGCAAGCCACTCCTGTGTACCAAGCACTGTGCCAGGTGCTTCATGGTGGTCCTTTTGTTTAATGCTCACAACAGCCCTCTAGACCTTTTTTTTCTCCCCGTTTGCAGGTGAGGAAACTGTAGTTCAGAGCAATGACATGACTTGAAAGCCAGCGTAAGGGTCCCCCCCCGCCCCCGCCCCCTGCCAAGCTGCTAGAGAAGATTCCACAGTGGTGGGAGGGCCACATCCGGGCCCTCCTTTCATCCAGTGGTCTTTATAAACCGTCCAGTTGGGCTCCCTCTCATGTACAGACCTCTGCCTGTCTCCTCCAGCAGCAGAGACACACCCTGCTCCTTCCCCAGTGGGGGGCCTTGCCTCCTGCTTCTGGAGAAAGCAGAGCTCCTCCAGGGGGAGTTCTCAAGTTCCAGTCCCCTTCAACCTATCAACTTATCCGTAGAAATGCCTCGAGTCCCTTGTGAAATGAGGCAGTGTAAAATAAACCGATGCATGAAGTCACCGCATTTATACCTTTATCCGTCCTCACCCCCTTTCCTCTAGTCTGAAGGCGAAGCGTGCCTTCTGTTCCAAACGAGTTCCACCACCTGGGCGCTGGTCTAATCCCCTCAGGCCTCCTCTGGGACCCAACTCTTTCCCCCATCTCTCCTCTGTATTTGGGTCTCCCTCCTTAGCAATAGTTACTTTCCCTCAGCCTATAAACATGCTCAAGTT